CCGGAGACGCGTCGATTTTGGAGATAAATTGATCGCGTTGCCACTCACTATTGCGTTTAAAGAAGTGTCGTATCTCTTCTTGTCCTCCTTGTAGTCTGTGACCAAACGTTCGGGCTGCTTTTCGTTTCGACCGGTGATCCGCGTTTTGGTGTATTTCCTCCTGCTCGTTCTTGGAATTTGCGTTTCTCCCCGCAATTGTTTGTAGTAGCGTTCTGCTTGGACTTGATCTTTTCGCTGTACGCGTTGTAAGAGAAGTTGTAGTTGTACCACCAGGTTGCCCCAATTGGAGACCGGTTTTCCAGCTTGTTCATATGTCTCCAAAAGTGGCAAAATACCTTGTTCAATCTGCTCTCGCACCCTTCTTGGCCTTCCGCTTCGTACAGGATAGTACACTTTGGACTTCGTTCGTGGTCGTTGTACCTCCCCACTGGATAGCTCTAAGCGAACCTTTTAGTGGTCAGATTCGTGGGCTGGTTGGCCCACCGTCAGTGCCTGCGCTGTGGTGAAAGGCTCGCCTTTTACGTAAAATCGATCTAGCCTACTAGCCCCGTTCTTGCTCCATCTTGTATAGAAGCTAAGAGGGTTTTTTACCTCGTCATCCCCTTCTAAGTCGTGGTGTAGCTCGACTGCATCGGTCATATCGTATTGGTCCAGTAGTTTCAGCAAGTAATTACTTTCACACGGAGCTGTACTTGGAATCCGCTTAGTCATTCGGTCTCTTCGCGGTCAAAGGACACAGTTAAGTCTCCTCCGAGGATGATTGAATCATGGTGCTTTATCCAAGGTTCCAAGTCGGTGCAAAACTGCAATTTGGCGTTCTTCTTGGCTGGTACGTACACATTAATGATAAGCCATTCATCCCGTTCCACTGCTATCACTCGGGGTGTCCAGGAGCCCTCTTTCCAAGGCTTCACTCGACCGCTCAAGCTCGGAGACAGCAATATTCCTACTCCTGCGGACTTCGTTTCTGTTGTTTTCCAATAACGCATGGGCTTCTCCGTTTTAGATAGTTGACATGTACGCTTCCACTGTGTGCTTATGTAATCAATCTCATTGGTCGTATGGAGATTCGTCTTGTACCAAAATCATATCTGGGCCTGGCCTTTCTCAATTTCTTCTCCACCCATTTAGCCACCTACTTCTAGCGGCTTTTGCAAACCCCCTCACATTCTGTGTTTTAATCGAGATGGTCTCCGTTTTTCTGTTCTTTGATCTGCGGGTTTTTGGCTCTGAATCTTCAAATAACGATGCTATGTTGTGCAGCTCCGAGTAGTAGTCCTCGCTCGATAGCTTTTCCAATTTCGTTGCCTCTACCATTAATGAGACGAATTATCACACTGGTCCTCATAGAGTGCCTTCGTGACAAACAGAGTTTCCAGAGTAGTCCAGTATCCGCTTGTCTCGCTTTGTTCCACAGCTTTAGCAATACTGGAATTTTTCTCCATGCGCTGCGAAATGACTGACAGGCAAGTGTGTGTTCGTCCTTGGGATCGAATTGGTAGACGGCCCAGACGGCAGCGTGACGATGAGCCAACGGCGTTATGTGAATGACATCCTGAAGCGCTTTGGTATGAACGAG